ATATATATATATATATATATATATATATATATATAAACATTGTGTGTTAAGGGGGAAAAAATCCATTGGAATTGTAATCACTGTGAACATAAAGAGATTAAGTTCTTTCATAAGGTGACCAGATTTTCAGATTGGTAAAGAAGGACACCTTTGACCGGGAAGGGTGGGCTTGATTAAAAATTTTACTACATACATACATACATACATACATACATACATACATACATACATACATACATACATACATACATACATACATCCATCCATACATACATACATACATACATCAGAAATTGTTACTCTAGAAGAACCTCACTATTTAATATGTTCTTGCAGTATTCAGTCTGGACATGAAATCCTTTGTAATTATTTTCAGTTCAGCATCCTTGCAAGTTTAATATGTGCATTTGGTTGACAAATGTTGCCAAGAAGGCCTACATTTTTTTCTAAAAGACACAAAAAGTAGAGATGGAAGGAAGTAGAAGAGATTATTGTTCTGCTTATTTCTGCAGATGTACATTATAATGGAACCCCCAGTTTGGTCTGAAATGGATGAATGGATGCAAATTATTTTATAAAGTGATTATTAGGCTCCATTACAGATTTTCATGACAATGAAACAAAATGTTAAAAGTACTTAATAATTGCAGCTGGATTTCTTCTCAATCCCTTTAAAAGTTTTTTGGCTGGTCTCTTAGAGTTTGCTCCATAAATCTAAAAAAATGGATTTGGGTACTAATAATTCATTCATGCCAGTTTTAAATACATGCTTATTCACATGACCTGATATCTTTTATAGCTTTAAGCTGCCAAATAACTACTTATGTCTCATCTTGAGTACTTGATGGCATTATGTGAAAACGTTGCAGAAAATTTCATAAGATTTAGATTTTACAATTGATTTGTGTTGCTATCAGAATGTCACTCATGAAAAGAGTGCTACATTTTTGAATATTATTCTTTGAACGCTGAAATCAAAAGCCTGATAATATAATGGAGTGTTTTTATGGTATTTTTTTCTTCTTAGTAGTTTCCTGCAATCAGGATCCATTTTTTTCTGATTAACCAAGTCTTAATCAATTGGTTGTGACAAGAATTGGCAGACTGGCTTGTCACCTAATCCTGACATTGTGAGCTCAGCAAGAGTGACTGGCCTGAAGAGACCCATCTGGCTTTGTGCCTAAGGAGGGACTAGAATTCCCAATCCTCTGATCTCAAGCTTGGTACCTTAACCACTAGACCAAATGGCTCTTTTATTACATTTAATATTTTAAACATTAATTTAATAATTAATTCAATTAATAATTAATACAATAACTGAAGTGTTAAACATTTAACAAACTGGCTCTTTTTATATTATATTTGTAATAAATATAATATGCATAAGTAATTATTGGGAAATACATTTCTCAGTAATCATATTAAGAATTATATTAAGCCCTGAGCAGAATGGTCTTTGTAAGATTTGTATATTGAAATACATGATTTTTCTCTTGGTGTTCATAGTATATTAGCTGTTTTCAGGAATTTTACATAAGAGTTTACTCAATGAACTCTGTAAGAATATCAGTTTGAAGCAGGGGTGAAATCAACTTACCTTTGTTACCGGTTCACAAATGTGAGCACATGCGCCACTTCTGCGCATGTGCACAGGAACTTATGCACAGAGCGTCAAAAACAGGATGTGATGACGTCCAGGAGGGTGGGTGGGGCCTCCCGTCACCACCGCTATTGGTTCATTCAAATTGTACCACTGGTTTCCACCAATCCAAGATTCTCAGTATAGTATTTAGTACTGTGGTTTACATTTTTCTAAGTGTTTAATATTAATGAGTAAGTTGGCCCCAATGATTTAAGGGCTCCTTTTCAACATTATGAAATATGTAAACTTTAGAAACTTAAAATAGTAACTACAGCATTTGTTTGTTTAGTCATTTAAAGTGAGTTATGGAATGACATAATTAGGTAAATGATGTTACAAGTTTTTATGGTAATGAACAGGGATGACCAGATATCATCATTAAAAGAGGTCATCAGGCCTGGACAAAGTCACTGATAAGACTGTTGTGTCCACCTAATGGTATCTTCCATAGTGTCTAAGAGTTCTATCAGAAGCCCAGAATCTTGATCACATAGCCATATTAAATTTCTAGGCCTAGATAATTCATTTTGCGTGATCTAGAATCAGACCTACTGTCATAACAGTGTCATAACAGTGCATGGAAGAGACTCACCAATGACACAATTTGTATTAGTATTTGCTGTTTCCAAACTGCATGTTAACTAGGTTCCCTGCATAAAATTAAAAGTCAGGAAACACAACAGAAGGCAGAAAGTTGTATGAGTTATAATGCAACATGAAATAAGTAGGCCTTTAAGATAGATATATCTTCCAAGAGCAGAACAGTTTGTGGCCAAGAAAGTTGAAATGAGCTTCTTAACAGTTGCTATATTCCCTAGCTTGATGGCTGTGACTGAAATGATCTTTCAGTCACAGGAAGAGGAAAACCTTTTCCGAAGATGGAATTTGGAACTTTCTCATAACATCTTCGTTTTACAGTTTCATGCTTCTCTTCCTTCTTCTTATCCCCTTTGTACTCTTCCTGGCTTCAGCAACTGCTTTTATTTGCCTTCCTAATAATAAAGTTTGCATTTGCATTACTATGATGCATTTGAATTACTATGATGATGATCTACAAAGCCCCTGAAGGCAGAACAAGAAGTCAGTGGATGGAAACTAATCAAGAAGAGAATCAACCTAGAATTAGGGAGAAATTTCCTGACAGTTAGAACAATTAATCAGTGGAACAACTTGCTTTCAGAAGTTGTGTGTGCTTCATCACTGGAGGTTTTTAAGAAGAGATTGGACGAGCATTTGTCTGAAATAGTATAGGTTTTTTTTGCTTGAGCAGGGGGTTGGACTAGAAGACCTCCAAGATCCCTCCCACCTCTGTTTTTCTATTGTTCTGTTATTTCCTTTTAGAATAGAATTGCCGAGTAATGATTTGATGATGATTTGGAGGACAACTTCCAGCAGAAAAGCCCATTTCTATCCTGGCTGCTAAAAGAAAGGGGCCAAGAGGGCTTTTCCCTACTTCTTTTAACATTACAAGTACAAGGAGGGAGAATCGAGAGCATTTTATTCATGGTTTTGGCAATCAGCAGCTGATTAAGACAACAAAGTTGAGCCCAGGGATGGACAACTATGCCAACTTTACGACTGTGGACTTCAGCTCCCAGAATTCCTGAGCCAGCACGGTTGAAGTTCCGGTAGTAAAGTTGCTACAGTTTCCCACCCCTATATCCATAATGCTTTTAAGGTACAGAAGAAAGCAGACCAGATAAAACTTAAATGAGAACTGTGAAAATAAATGTTTCTTTTTTGCATGATCATATCCTCATTATGCCAGTCAACTTTGATAACTAATAATGATAATGAAACTGAGCTGGAAACAAAATGCTCAAAAACAACTCATCTTTAAGCAGCAAGGAATAATGCACCTCTTACCGCTTCATTGTCTCTTATTTGCTCATTTCCTTCTTATAAGACCTATTCCCCTGTTAGACTTCAGTGATTCATCTTCACTATTTTCTATTTTTATTAATGCACATAACACGTAAACATTTTGACACTTGAAGTTTCTAAGCACATTTTTAAAGCAATAGGACTCGTGCTTGTTGGTATGAATTAAGTGGACATTGGAAGTTCATTTAAATTGAAGATACTTTATTTTTGTCTACACCGTATGTCAAAACTGTATTTTTAGCATCTACTACTTGTTCTGTCTCATACAGTACTTAAGATCCATAGGAAGTTGACCATACATACTTAACATTGACTAATTATGAGTTAATATCCCATGTAATAAACTGTTTAAAGAAATATAAAATATTTGTCTTAGCTTGACTATTGTTATTATATTTTTACTCCCAAGTCCGGCATCATCTGTTCTGGGAGACAAAAATCCAGATGGCCACTACACCCTATGAAGATTTTTAAAAATTTTAACTTCTACTGCCATTCAGTGATTGATCTGATTTTTGCAGCTCTGGGCTAATTTTAAATTATCCACCATGCAAGCAAATGATTGAGTAGCACAAAGATGACAAAAGCTTGCACAATTAATAAGAAAATCATTTTTGAGAGACAATATATCCCTTGATTAAACTTGATTTTGAAAGGATTAGTTTGTCAATAATGTCATGTAATGCTTTATGTTTAACTACAATAGCTGTCTATAAATACATTTTGAAGAGAAGAGCAACAGGGTTCATAATCTGGATTTGTGTGGATGTATTCTTTTAAAATGAAATAATATACTTGCTTTTTTTTCCAGGTGTCTGAATGCATGTACTTATTGCAAAACTAAGCATGCCCGAGGGGAATTAGCAAGTTATTCTATTGAAGAACTGGTAAACAGAGGCAAACAATCCTTTGAAGGTAGGTTTTTCTCATTTGTTTAATTTAAACATACTTTTCAAGACATCTACTAATGTGATATACTGTAACTTAATCTATCGCAAAATATATAGTACTAAATGCACCAGAATTTACTTTAAAAAGCTCATCTATATATAGGTTTAAATAATTAATTTTCTTTTTTATCTGTGTATTTTTTTTCAAATCTGGAAAATTATATGTATTCATATACTACTAAAACTCTTATTGTGTTTACCTGTTTCTCTGTTTGTACTCTCAAGTTAGGCCAAATCGTGCTTAATACCGCAACAGTGTTTGAATCAAGGCATCTAAAATGTGCTAACTTAAGGATGCGTAAAAAATTTGGGACCCATGATTTTTGTAAAATTAAATTTCCAAGATGTTCAGACTACTTTTATTTCCAGTGAAATTCAGTGTTACTATGGTCGTGTGATTTTGGTTCCTAATGCTCCTTGCCAGCTTCCCACAAGCAAAGTCAATGGGGAAGCCAGCAGGAAGTTGGAAGTCACTCCCACTGCTTTTTTGCCCACTCATGGTGTTTAGGTAACTTATTATTATTATTATTATACAATTGTATCACAGCAGCCAGTTGTTTTGCCGGATTTGGCATTGGTTACTAGTCGG